CATACCTCCCTCAGTTTCCTTCTCCCCCATACCTCCCTCAGTTTCCTTCTCCCCCCATACCTCCCTCAGTTTCGTTCTCCCCACCCATACCTCCCTCAGTTTCGTTCTCCCCACCCCATACCTCCCTCAGTTTTCTTCTCCCCCCATACCTCCCTCAGTTTTTTCCCCATACCTCCCTCAGTTTCTTCCCCCCCATACCTCCCTCAGGGTTTCTCTCAAGCCCCCCCATACCTCCCTCAGTTTTCTATCAGCCCACCCCCACCCCCCAGCTTGTAGCAGGGCCGAGTGCACCGAGGAGCTCAGTTTCCTGTACCGTGGCGCGCTCGGCCACGCTACACAGAGTGCCTGGCAGGAGGGAGCGCTGTGCGCTATGTGCTCACCTCCTGCTGGTCACTCTGGTTTTGCGCCCGCCGGGCCGTTGCGCCCTAAGGCGGCCACTTGTGCCGCCTTATGGATGCGCCGGCGGAGCGCACCCTCCCTCCGGCGACCTATGGCCGCGTGACCACAGATGGGGCTCTGCGTGCCACCTGTGGCACGCGTGCCATAGGTTCGCCATCACTGATCTAGGGTTAACCCTGCAGCTGTAAACATAGCAGTTTCAGAGAAACTGCTATGTTTACATTAGGGTTAATCCAGCCTCTAGTAGTGGTCTCATTGACAGCCGCTAGAGGCGCTTCTTACTGTGAGAAGAGGCTGCCGTCCATAGGAAAGCATTGAGAAATGATTTCCTATGGATTGACTGATTGCACGCGCGGCTCTTGCAGCGGATGACATCGGAAGAGGAGCGGATGACAGCGCAGCGGATGACAGCGCTGGAGAAAGGTAAGTGATTAACCCCTTCAGCCTGGCGGGAGGAGGACCCAAAGACCCTAAAGAGCGCACTATAGTGGTCCTTTAAGCTCACTTCATTATCTAAACCTATGCAAAAATGTAAATGTTCTTGACAGTAAACAATTGCATTAAATAATATCGATTGCATGAAAGGAGAATTATTCACGACCGCAACAGTTCCACTTTAAATCCCTGGTGCCGTACATAGTGTATACTAGGAAAATGTCCGAGGGGGTGGAGGATAACACAGCTTATCATTATCCACCCGGACAGGCTACTCCTTTTCCTGGCTTGTTCGTCTCATTTCATTGCGAGCCCGTCTATTCCGGGTGTTGTTAAGTCATCTCTCGGCGCCTCTCCTCACCCCACCCCTTAACAAATTGTATAGTAAAAAAACGTACTGGCAATCAAAAGGGCAAGGAATCATCAGTCATTCACCATCAAATACAACGCCGATGTTCTATCAAAAAGACATACCCCGTGAAAAAGACATACCCTCGTCACTTCCGGTGAAGCGGCCGCACCGGAAGTGACGTCCAACCAATAGAGGAGGAGGTGTGCCGCATCGCGCATGCGCACAACCTCCAGGCAGAGAACGTTAACAGCGAGCAGGGGACATTAACGCCGCACTGCGCACGCGCGTCTAGTACTCCCGTCGGAGGTACAGCGCGCGTGCGCAGTACTGGGGTATGGAAATCTGATGGCCATTTCGCCTGTTAAATCTCCATACCCCTATACTGCGCATGCGCGGACACAATCGACCGCGCGTGCGCAATGTGGGGTAGGGAAATTTCACAGGACAGACACAGATAGCCATCAAATTTCCCTACCCCTATACTGCGCATGCGCGGACTCCCATCCTTGCATTCAAACAGGTCAGTCTCCCCCTGCTCCCAACACCCTCAGCCACCCGAGGGGAGAGTACAGTATATTGGGGGGGGGGGTACCTGCACAGTATATAGGGGGGTCTGCACAGTATATAGGTCTGCACAGTATATATATAGTATACGAGTATATAGGGGGTTGCACAGTATATAGGGGGTACCTGCACAGTATATAGGGGGTCTGCACAGTATATGGGGGTGCACAGTATATAGGGGGTCTGCACAGTATAGGGGTACCTGCACAGTATATGGGGGTCTTGCACAGTATATAGGGGGTCTGCACAGTATATACAGTATATGGGGGTCTCAGTATATATAGGGGGTGCACAGTATATAGGGGGTGCAGTATATATATGGTGCACAGTATATATGGGGGGTGCACAGTATATATGGGGGTGCACAGTATATAGGGGGTGCACAGTATATAGGGGTGCACAGTATATATGGGGGGTGCACAGTATATATATAGGGTGCACAGGGGGTGCACAGTATATATGGGGGTCTGCACAGTATATGGGGGTACACAGTATATATGGGGGGTGCACAGTATATAGGGGGGGATCACAGTATATAGGGGGGGGTGTCTGCACAGTATATGGGGGGGTGCACAGTATATAGGGGAGGTCTGCACAGTATATAGGGGGGGTCTGCGCAGTATATTGTGGGGTCTGTGTGTTAGATGGAGGGGCTGTTTGTTACATGTGGGGGGGCAGTGTATTATATTTGGGGGCTGTGCGTTAGATGGGGAGCTGTACAGTACGTGTGGCCTGTGTGTTAGACTTGTTTAGTTTCACAGAAAAATATTTATTTCCTAGATATCATATGCCATGGCATGCTTTTTGCTATGAAACCGCAGCCATCTAGTCACTCGCCAGAGAAGGATGAGAAACTGCACCCCAGCGAGAGGGACAGCCCCACATCTGCAACCAAATCCGTCGGTCACCGAATTCAGTAATCTCCGTCTCTTTGTGCATTGTGTATGTATGATACTTCCAATTCTTATATTTAATCTGGTGTGTCTCCCACAATATTTGTGTCTGTCTGCTGTATGTATGTGGCACGCAAGTCTGCACGCACTGTGTCTGTTATGCCAGTTACTCTAACCAGTTTATTTCTTTTTGTGTGTGTCACAGCTCTGACAAGCATGTTCTCCTATGGGACACGAAGTACATGAAGAGGAATGAAGAAGCCCATGTTTGATGCTCGTCTCCAGGGTGGAGTATTGAATTTATAAATAATGAAGTGTCATCTGGCATGTGACAAGCTGCTCCTGTTTGCACAGCAACTTCAACATTGTGTACTGTGATCACAGCCTAGTTCAGAGGTAGGTAACCTTAGTCAGTCCAGATGCTGTGAATTACATCTCCCATAATGCTGGCAAACCATCATGGGAGGTGTAGTGCAAAATATCTGGAATACCGAATGCGGATGAATGCAAAGTATGGTGTGTGTGAATGGTCAGTAACAAGGGTTGAAGCCTTGACGTGGCGTTACTGCTCACATGTGTATTCATGTGCCAATTCAACCAATGTGAGTCACTGTAATACTTATAAGGTAACCAAAAGTACCGTGATTGTGGATAATGAAACACCTGTATCACCTACACACTGTTCACACTGTGACCTTTTCTCCTACACACTGCTCACACTGTGACTGTATCTCCTAAACACTGCTCACACTGTGACTGTATCCCCTGTACACTGCTTACACTGTGACCGTATCCCATGAACACTGCTTACACTGTGACCCTATCGCCTATACACTGCTTACACTCTGACCCTATCACCTAAACACTGCTTACACTGTAAGCACAGACATGTTTTTTATTTAAAATTGAAAGCGCTCGATCATTCTTTCTATTCTACGCATCCAATCTTAAACATTGAAATTGTCATTTCTAATAATATAAAATAAGTATTATGCTTTCTGGTTACGATTTGGCGAGTTGTAACTATATTTTTTATTTTTACAGTTCCAGAGGGAAGGTGCAAACCGCTTTGAGGAGTCCCTGCATAAGAGACTATTGGATACTGAAGGGCTGTACTGCAGTGTCGGCTCTAGACTTGGCGAGGCCTTAGGCGAAACTCATACATGAGACCCCACGGAGAACACCATTATTGAAGAAAAAATAGCAGTTGACTTTGTGTATAAGAAGCTGTAGATATATTGATGGTGGAGCTCAGTGGTGTGTCCTGGTTTTGTGCTGCCCTAGGCAGGACAATACTCAGGCGCCCCCTTTGGGGGGGTGACGGTGAGTAAAGGGGTAACTGTGGCAGGGTGAGTGTAAAAGAGCAGGAGGGTGCCTGCGTGTTGAGGGTTGACGGTGTGCATGAAGGGAGGTGCCAGAGTGCGGAGAGTGGTGGCCGTGTGGGGAGGGTGACATAGTGTGAGAGGGAGGGTGATGAGGTGAGGGATGAATGACAAAGTAAGAGGGGGGTGACGTAATGTGAGAGTATGGGTGACAGAGTAAGGGTGGGTGACATAGTGTGAGGAGGATGACAGAGTGAGGGGGTGATGGTGAGGTGACCGTAAGAGGGGGGTGACAAGGGGTGATGAGGTGAGGTGACAGTAAGGGTGGGGTGACAGGGGGGGATGACAGAGTAAGAGGGGGGTGACAATAACAATATCTGATATATCTGATATTAGGCCACATGTGCAATTATTATGTAATTAATGGACAACATACTTTTTCAATTTAGTTAAATTAGAAATTAAATATTGTTTGACTTTTTTATATTGCCACTTTAAAAAAAAATTAAAACTCTTAATTTTTAAATGTACAGTAATTTGTCTGAAATAATGTTAACTAATTATTGTGGGACAGTGGAGAGCAAACCCAAACTGGGACTCTACTAAACAATCCAGGACTGTTAGGAAATATGGCTTTGTAACAACATATGATAATTTATGGTGCATATAGGTCTTCGTGTCACTGTGCCTATGCATAGTTTTGCTTATAAATGTGATGACTTTCAAACGATAGCAATAAGCATAGTAAGAAGTTGCTCTTTAAAAGCCCACGTCATCTCGTTTAAATGGTTTGGGTGCAGTGCCAATGTCCCCTTAATCCTGCAATGTTAAATATTGCAGTTTCTGAGAAACTACAATGGAACGCAGCTAGTGATGGTATTATTTGTAGCTAAGTAACACAAATCGCATGTTAAGGTGTCAGCAAAATACTTTATTTCTTCAAAGTTAATATGCATTTTAGACTTTATATATATAGTGGAAAAAAATATAAAAGTCAAATTTGGAAACTGGTTAAGAAATGTCACACTGTGGTATCCAAGAAGGAGAAAGTTCAATCACATGTAAAGAAATGCTGTATGGCATTAGGAAGGTAGTATCTTAATAATATAATGGTCTCTTTCCCTGGACGGTCCACGATTCTTAATCACTGGAAAATGAAGGTTACATCATGTCTGCAGCATGTGTTCCGAAACAGCCATATGGACGTTTTCTATAGAAGAAGGTAATCTCTTCTGTTTGAGCAGGTCGAGGTTAATGGTGGTGGGTTTGTCTCTGGCACTGGAACCATCAGTAAAGGAGTGTAAAATTGAGAGGATCACCTTGTTCTTCCCACAAATGTAAGAAAACACAGAACAGAAGATTGAGGAGAGTGGTTAACAAATCAATGAAACCGCAAACACTAAAACTAACTTGAAAAAAAATAACATTCACAGTGTAAGCAGTGTTTAGGCGATTGGGTCACAGTGAAAGCAGTGTATAGGCGCTAGGGTCACAGTGTGAGCAGTGTTTAGGAGATACGCTCACAGTGTCAGCAGTGTTTAGGAGATACGTTCACAGTGTGAGCAGTGTTTAGGAGATACGGTCACAGTGTAAGCAGTGTATAGGAGATACGGTCACAGTGTGAGCAGTGTTTAGGAGATACGGTCACAGTGTAAGCAGTGTATAGGAGATACGGTCACAGTGTCAGCAGTGTTTAGGAGATACGGTCACAGTGTCAGCAGTGTTTAGGAAATACGGTCACAGTGTAAGCAGTGTTTAGGCGCTAGGGTCACAGTGTGAGCAGTGTTTAGGAGATACGCTCACAGTGTCAGCAGTGTATAGGCGCTAGGGTCACAGTGTGAGCAGTGTTTAGGAGATACACGCTCACAGTGTCAGCAGTGTATAGGAGATAGCAGTGTTTAGGAAATACGGTCACAGTGTAAGCAGTGTTTAGGCGCTAGGGTCACAGTGTGAGCAGTGTTTAGGAGATACGCTCACAGTGTCAGCAGTGTATAGGCGCTAGGGTCACAGTGTGAGCAGTGTATAGGAGATACGGTCACAGTGTAAGCAGTGTGTAGGAGATACGGTCACAGTGTAAACAGTGTGTAGGTGATACAGGCGTTTCATTCTCCACAATCACGGTACTTTTAGTTACTTTATAAGTATTACAGTGACTCACATTGGTTGAATTGGCACATGAATACACATGTGAGCAGTAACGCCACGTCAAGGCTTCAACCCTTGTTACTGACCATTCACACACACCATACTTTTCATTCATACGCATTCGATATTCCAGATGTTTTGGACTACACCTCCCATAATGCTTTCCCAGCATTATGGGAGATGTAATTCACAGCATCTGGACTGACTAAGGTTACCTACCTCTGAACTAGGCCGTGATCACAGTACACAATGTTGAAGTAGCTGTGCAAACAGGAGCAGCTTGTCACGTGCCAGATGACACTTCATTATTTATAAATTCAATACTCCATCCTGGAGACGAGCATCAAACATGGGCTTCTTCATTCCACTTCATGTAGTTTGTGTCCCATGGGAGAACATGCTTGTCAGAGCTGTGACACACACAAAAAGAAATAAACTGGTTAGAGTAACTGGCATAACAGACACAGTGCGTGCAGACTTGCGTGCCACATACATACAGCAGACAGACACAAATATTGTGGGAGACACACCAGATTAAATATAAGAATTGGAAGTACCATACATACACAATGCACAAAGAGACGGAGATTACTGAATTCGGTGACCGACGGATTTGGTTGCAGATGTGGGGCTGTCCCTCTCGCTGGGGTGCAGTTTCTCATCCTTCTCTGGCGAGTGACTAGATGGCTGCGGTTTCATAGCAAAAAGCATGCCATGGCATATGATATCTAGGAAATAAATATTTTTCTATGAAACTAGGGTTGTACACATCTAACACACAGGCCACACGTACTGTACAGCTCACCATCTAACGCCCCCAAATATAATACACTGCCCCCCCACATGTAAGAAACAGCCCCTCCATCTAACACACAGGCCACCCCAATATACTTCACAGACCCCACAATATACTGCGCAGACCCCCCATATACAGCGCAGACCCCCCTATACAGCGCAGACCCCCCCATATACTGTGCAGACACCCCCCATATAGCAGTGCCCCTATATACTGTGCACCCCCATATACCTATATACTGTGCACCCCCATATACATATATACTGTGCACCTTATATACCCCCATATATACTGTATAACCCACCCCCATATACTGTGCACCCCTATATATACTGTGCACCCCTATATACTGTGCACCTATATACTGTGCACCCTATATACTGTGCACCCCCATATATACTGTGCCCCCCCTATATACTGTGCACCCCCTATATACTGTGCACCCCCTATATACTGTGCACCCCATATATACTGTGCACCCCCTATATACTGTGCACCCCCCATATACTGACCCCCATATACTGTGCACTCATATATACTGTGCACCCCTATATACTCTGTGTACCCCCTATATACCGCTGTGCACCCCCATATATACATATATACTGTGCACCCCCCATATATACTGTGCACCCCTATATACTGTGCACCCCCTATATACTGTGCACCCCCTATATACTGTGCACCCCCCCCCCATATACTGTGCACCCCTGTACCCATATATACTGTGCACCCCCATATATACTGTGCACCCCCTATATACTGTGCACCCCCATATATACTGTGCAGACCCCCTATATACTGTGCAGACTTCATATACTGTGCAGACCCCTATATACTGTAGACCCCCTATATACTGTGCAGACCCTCATATACTGTGCAGGTATACTGTCTATATACTGTGCAATATACCCTATATACTGTGCAGGTACCCTATATACTGTGCAGGTACCCCCTATATACTGTGCACCCCCATATACTGTATATACTGTGCAGACCCCCTATATACTGTGCAGGTACCCCCCCTCCCCCAATATACTGTACTCTCCCCTCGGGTGGCTGAGGGTGTTGGGAGCAGGGGGAGACTGACCTGTTTGAATGCAAGGATGGGAGTCCGCGCATGCGCAGTATAGGGGTAGGGAAATTTGATGGCTATCTGTGTCTGTCCTGTGAAATTTCCCTACCCCACATTGCGCACGCGCGGTCGATTGTGTCCGCGCATGCGCAGTATAGGGGTATGGAGATTTAACAGGCGAAATGGCCATCAGATTTCCATACCCCAGTACTGCGCACGCGCGCTGTACCTCCGACGGGAGTACTAGACGCGCGTGCGCAGTGCGGCGTTAATGTCCCCTGCTCGCTGTTAACGTTCTCTGCCTGGAGGTTGTGCGCATGCGCGATGCGGCACACCTCCTCCTCTATTGGTTGGACGTCACTTCCGGTGCGGCCGCGTCACCGGAAGTGACGAGGGTATGTCTTTTTCACGGGGTATGTCTTTTTGATAGAACACCGACCTTTGTAAACACGTTCGCTCTGCCGTACCTCGGAATAAAAATAACTGTATCATGAAATTTGCTTAGAAAGGAACTAACGTTTTACTACGCATGTGCGTTTCCCTCCTTCCCGTAAAGCGCAAGGCTCTTGTTGCGCATGCTCTTGTCATTTTAAAGGAAGTCCTCCTATACGTACAAAGTGGATTAAGGCTTCCGTTACGGAAGAAGAGAGATTCAATACCTAATTGGTATATTTTGATTCTGATTGGCATGTTGGTAAGTATTATTTTAATATGTATAGATTAGTTACATAAATGGTGTTAAGCTTATGTGTGAGACAATGTTTTGTGATGCTTTATTCACCATTTTGGAGTTAAGAGTGGTAACATATATAAATCTATCTTTCTTTTTTTTTAATTGTTTAGCCGTTTTTCCTTTGGTGGCAATAAATATTTTGTTTTGCTGATAACCTGTTTTAGTGGTATCTGTCCCATAGTTTTGCAGTCATTGGTTAGTGTGTGTGTGTGTGTATATGTATTTAACCCCCTTAAGGACACATGACGTGTGACATGTCATGATTCCCTTTTATTCCAGAAGATTGGTCCTTAAGGGGTTAATTAAGCTGCAACAACACAATTAACTTCTGTTAGGGCAACCATAATTTAACTATTAGTTTATTACAACCAGTTACCAAAAAAAAAAACCCAGTCACAAATTTTTATTACCAAGAAATCAGTTTAAGGACCATTATAGGCACCCAGTCCACTTCAGCTCAATGAAGTGGGCTGGGTGCCAGGTCCCCCTAGTTTTAACCTGACAACACTTTTATAGAGAAACTGCTATGTTTAAACTGCAGGGTTAATCCAGCCTCTAGTGGCTGTCTCCCTGACAGCCACTACAGGCGCTTCTGCGATTTACACTGAAAATTAAAGTAAATTGCACTTATTTGACGCTGTACGTCCTCACGGAGTCCACTGTCAAATAAGATCCCCATAGGAAAGCATTGAGTAATGCTTTCCTATGGGTGGGCTTGAATGCGCGCGTGCCTCTGTCTGTGCATGCGCGTTTGACGTTAGCGGGGAAGGAAAGTGGCTGAAGGGATTTTAACCCCTTTAGCGCTGAGGGAGGGGGGCCACTCCAAGAGCCTATAGTGGCAGGAAAACGGGTTTGTTTTCCTGGCACTATAGGATCCCTTTAAGATTAGAATATCTTTTCCAATAATACTTAATGTCCATTTCCATCTAATATTTAACCACGTCCTGTACAACCAGTCACTCTCAATACTGCACCAGATCAGGGATGCCATCTTTTTTTGGTTTCATGATCTACTTTATAAATGACCAGATCATCAAGGTCTTCCTACTAAAAAAACATGTTTTCTTAACAAAATAAAATACCTTTATTATGTCTACTGTATATATGTCAGTGGTCTGCAACCGGTGGTCCGCGTGCCGGTCTGCAAGAACTTATTGCCGGTCCGCGAAAGCTTTCACCCGGGGTGAGCAGGCCCTGCTGTCTGCCTTTTTCGGGCCATTGGGGAGATCAAAGATCTCCCTCACTGGTCTCCTAGGAGGCTGTGATCCTCCCATAAACAGGCAGGTTGGAGAGTTACCGCTTGTTTCCATGGCAGCGCTACGACACAGCGCTGTGCTCGAAGAAAATAGGGAGGTCAGCCTGAATTCAGAGGAGCTGCAGGCTGAAGGGCACGCACCACCACTGGAGCACCAGGGATCGCAGTGATATTTCCCCTCCTTCCAGGAGAGAGGTAAGACGGGGGGCATAAAGCTTTCCCTCCCCCCCTTTTAAGTAAATATACATTTTCTCCCTGATCACCTCCCACCACAATTTAGACACTTTACACATCGTCCTTCACACATATCATTGTTTTTTACT